TTACAATAGCTAAGCTTTGGAAACAACCCAAATGCCCAAAAATAGATGACTGGATCAAGAAGATGTGGTACATATATACCATGGAATATTACTCAGCATTCAAAAAAGATAAACACATGCAATTTGCAGCAACATGGATGGCACTGGAAGGGATCATGCTCAGCGAAATAAGCCAAAAAGAAAAAGAAAAATACCGGATGGTCTCACTCATAGCAGGAATCTAGAAAACTTAAATAAGGGACCAGGAAAATGAATATAAGAAAGTGAAAATCAAAATCAACAAAAAACTATGAACCAGAGACACTTTTTGGGGGGTGGGGGGTGGGAGGGGAAGGATTGGGGTCAGAATGGAGCGTTTGCAATTGTATGGGGGAATATAAAAATAAAATTTAATATTTAAAAAAAAAAAAAAAAAAAAAGAAACGTATGCACAGAAGAATATAGACAAATAGCTTTCTTGTTGGAAACATTATACATGAGAAATAAGGAGCACCATCTTTAAAACACAGACAGAAAAATAACTGGCAATCTTAAATTCTATATCCACTGAATATAGCTTTCAAAAACAAGATTGAAAAAAAAAACATTTTTTCAGGCACACAAGAGCTCAAGGAATTAATTACCAGCAGGTAGGTACTGTAAAAATGTTAAAAAAAAAAACAAAAAAACAACCAACCTTTTAGGAATGGAATCTCTGAAGACAGGGAAATGGTATACTGTTCCCGCCTCTATACCAATCTGAGTGCTGCATAACAATTATGTTAAAAAGATTTTGGATATGAAAGTTTGTGGATTCAAAGCCAATTCTACTAAAATGTAAAATATTTAGTGTATACAGGAGTAACATGAGTACAATGCATAAGGCATAGCTTGACAAGGAAAATTTTAAGTGGTAAATGACCACTTTTAAGTGGTAAATATATTTTTTTAAAGATTTATTTATTTATGCATACAAGAACTGGGATACAGGCCAGAGATGCAGGGGATGAGAGGATCCACCAGAGACAGAGTGGGCAGCAGAACAGGCAGACTAACCAAAACACACTGCTGAGAGGAGCAGCGGGCAAGTCAGGAGAGGTCTGCTGTGCCATGCAGGTCACCTCCCCGGCTAGCCGGGGAATTGAACTCATGCTGCAGTGGCTGCGCACAGCCACATAGGTTGCATCTTAACCCCTTGAGGCACCAGGGAGGCCCCTTAAGTGGTAAATTTTTAAGTGGAAATTTAAAGTGGTAAATGACCACTTAAAATGTTATTTTTTTTTTTTAATGTAATATACTTCTTCAATTAGCTAACAGTAAAAAACAGGTATGGAAAGGGAGAGGGGAGATGAAACACCTTGTTTCATCTTTTCCTTCAAATTAGGTTTATTGAGGTAAAGTTGATTTACATTTCTGTATCTTTGGGGGTTATAGGTTTAAACCTTTACAAAAGTATGTTTTCACACCATGCCTACCACCAGAGCCCCAGTAATACTCCATCACGCTCTTTGGGCCTCTTTCCTTCCTTACCTCCACCTTGCTACCCTCCCACTCTGGCTGCCTCAATTTTGCAGTCAGATGTTAAGAGTTTATTATTGGTTTGGCTTTGACCAATCCTAAGTTATATTTTTGTATATTCCACATATAAATGAACTATTTGGTATTTGTTTTTCTCCTTCTTCTGACTTATTTTGCTTAGAATTATCCTTTCCAATTTCATCCATGTTGTCACAAATGGCAATAGTTCATCCTTTTCTATAGCTAAGTAGTATTTCTGTGTGTGTTTGTATTTGTGTGTGTGTGTGTGTGTGTGTATACCACAATTTTCTGATTCTCTCCTCTATCCTTGGGCACTTAAGCTATTTCCATAACTCTGCTATTGTAAGTAGGGCTGCAATGAATGTAAGAGTACATAGAGTTCTTTGAATTAGTGTCTTCATTTCTTTGGGCAGATACCTAGGGGTAGAATTGCTGGGTCATATGGTAGGTCTATTTTTAATATTTTGAGGAACCTCCATACTGTTTTCCATAGAGGCTTAACAAAATGACTTATTTTTATTGTAAGGAAGAAATGGTTCACAAACTAGCAAATATACAAATACTATTTTTCAATGACTGGAAGAAAGGATGAATTTCATAAATTGCTATGAATGATTTATATGATCACAGTTTACCTACAATCTGTTAAGTGTTACTAATATTAATCATATACATTTTCATAGTTTTAAGGAAGATTATGCACTTACTGTATGAACTTCTCCTGGAGAACATACTTAGTAACGGTTCCTCACCATTTGCTTTATTTAATACATCTGCCCTAATCACATAGACACTACTCTACAGAAAGCTGTATACGTACTACCCAGATTCTCCATCACTGCATTAAATCGCCATAAAGAAAACAGACCTCTATTGTATCTTTTTGTCCCTAGAGAAATGAAATGGTTTGCAGCTTATTTTAAATCACAAAGCAATTCTTTTGTACACCAAACTGGCCCAAGGCTATGGAGGTTGTGCAACTCACTTCCCACAAGACCTCTACTTGTGGCTGCTTCTCAAACGTGCCAGAACACGAAAACCTTGAAGGCACACCATGTGGGGCAGTGCTCTCTCTGCCTCTGAAGTAATTCCTGAGCCAAATTAGAAAAACCAAAATCTGAAAAGCCATTGCAAAGCAAGCTCACTTAGGGGGAGGGGAGGGGGGCGGATGGGGAAGCCAGCATTTTTCTGGTTAGGAAGGGAAATAAGGTTAACCTAAATTGGACTTGGGGCACAAATGAAGGCACCAAGAAGAACCATAGTTGCTTCAGTTCAACTATGCATTTTTGTGTCCATTATAAGAAAAGAACAGCCCTTTAAATCATTTGGGTATATTCAGAAATGTAATTGCTTATAAAAGATCTCAAATTCTTTAAAGGACTGATTTGAATTGGTGGGGGAAAGAGGGCAGATGAATAATGCATTGCTACAGATCTATTTTGAGTAAAACTTATTAGCTAATCAAAGTCAGCAACTAGTACTTGCTAAGTGGCTGTTCATGTATGAGCAACAGTCCTTCAAAGATTTTTTGCTTCCTTTATTCTCTTTCCCAGGAAGAAACAGATTATATGGGACTTATAATAGAAAAACCTGGGTTCCGATCATGTTACTGTCATGACATGCATAAACAACTTCCAGGCACTATACTTTCCAGCCACTTGTCATTTCTGAATTTTAGGGGTTTTCTCTATAAAGTTTATGTAACAACAAATGTCATACCCTTTGTAAAGAAATACCTGTAAAGTGCTATTTAAGCAGTTATTACTATTGATGCTATCAAGTCTGCCAGGCACATAGAAAGTACTTAAATGCTTACAAAACTGTTAATGAACTGGTCTAATGATAGGAAACAAATGGTAAGAACAGAACCTTACCTAAAACAGGAACCTTATAATCAACAATATTTTCACTCGAAAATGAACAGATATTTAACTATGAAGAATTAGTATCTTATGTGGAACTAATTCGAACACCTTGGAAATATCCCAAGGGGAAACAATGCCACCATTGCCAGAAGAGGTCACTGTAATCATCGCATATTGCAGGATCTCAGGTACGGCAGACAGATGCCAGCAAATCAGGTCTTGTCAGGCAGAGGCAGGAGAATGAGAGGGTAAGATTTTGCACTCTGGAGTTAAAAATCTCAACTGATAAGTTGTTTGACTGTAGGCAAATTAATCTCTTCTAAACCTCAGTTTTCACATATGTAAAATGGGGAGATTAATAGCTTTTGCCAGCAGGATTTTTGTAAAGATGAAATATAGAAGCATAGACTATCCAACAGTGTTATTTACTTAGCTACCATCTTTATCACAATATATAAAGTTGGTTTTCTATGAGTGGAACTTTACCAGGAGTCAGTTCTTTGGTAATCTATTAACCCTTAGCCATGGTAGCGAGCTATGGTATGTTTTTGAAAAACACAGCAAAGTGGTGCACTGTGGTCATATATCCTGCCAGGTGCCCACAAACCAATATGCTGCTTAGGTGAAGTTAGATATGTCTCCTGGGAGCTGTGGTTCCCTGAACCAAATGTTAGCAGACATCCAAGGTATTCTTCATATTTCACTACCACTCTGAACTATCTACAGTCCCTGGGTTATACTTTAAAATATTTTATCCAAGTTGCTCATGCTCTGTGGTTCACTTCCAGCAAAATTTGTCTGTCTTTTTTTCAAATGGAAATGTCGAAAATCTTAAGATGTGGATACATGCAAATTTGTTCTAATTTGCAGTGAGTGAGATCTTGCTACTACAGAAGCTAAAGAAGTTAGAATAATGAAACACTTAAATAGGAGCCTTTATAATAGTACATACCATGTGAAATGATGGTGGTGGGCAATGAAGCAGCTGCTTCACATTCAATATCCTAGTGAATGAAATAACTGCATTTTAAGGAAATAAAACCTAACCCTTCTTGAGATGTTCTGCTAAATGAGTCATAAAACCTTAATTCTAGATCTATAAAATTAATCAAAGTAACCCAACTGTGCATTCATCCTGGTTCGTATCATCGAGAATTTAATAATGCAGTAAATTCTGGATCTTGGATATAGAAGACATCCTCCCTCATGCCCTAAGAGTAACCTCTTGAGATTATGTCCACTGTTTTGGGACATGGCTCCCTTCCTCTGGAGAAAGTCTGGGTCCCGGCACCTCAACACAAGCTGCTTCTCCGGCCGCTCCACCAGCCTGCCTGCGTGGTGACAGCCCTACTAGCCAGCCAGCAGCACACTGGCGTCTGCTGGGCTGCTGCAGATTGAACAGACTGTGAATCCAGCCAGAGGATAAGAGGTTGTTTTAATTGGCTAAATCCGCTATGTACTAAGCGTATGGCCATGAATTTGTAGCCAAAACACTAATCTAAAAAAAATGTCATGTACAATTTAAATACAAAACACAAATGACATTTTCGCTGTCAATTCTAGTTTTACCATGAGGATTTTTAACCTAGCATTTTATAATGACTACTGAATCCTTACCTTTGCTGAAGTAGAATTTTCATGATATACTCCTTGCACCAAGTCCATAAGAGCACTTGCTATAAGTTCCACAACCTAAAAGAAAAGAAAAAAATTTTTTTCTCATTTTTACTTCAGAATTCATCAGAAAGCTTAGCAGCAAGGCAGTATTTGTGTTTGATAGAAAAAACTGGGTTATCTGTAAAGATCCTGGCAAACGGAATTGCCCACCTGGATATTCAACTACAATCCTATTTTTTTCAGGCACAATTTAAGCAAAAAAAAAAAAAAAAAAAAAAAAAATCTTATAAGCACAATATACAACTGATATACATGAAAATCCACAAATAGCCATTTTGAACATAAGCTTTAATGTCAGATAACTAATGAAGTCTTTATTTTCTGTATACTTATTTCTGTCAGGGGGATATGTTTCCAAAATCCTCATTCTGAGAGTTAATTTTCATATTTAATATAGATAAGAAAAGCAAAAGAATGGTTAACCTTTCAAATGTGTTAATTCTGTTGTGATTAAAATATTCGGTAGATATATTTAGTGTAGGGTCCCTGGGTCACATGTATCATAAACAGCGAAAATTTTGACGGAACCACAGTATTGAAATAGCATTTGTCAAATCTGTATTATTTTTAAGACTTAGGCTACTTAAAAAAAATTCAGCAAAATCAAAAGCTTTGAACTTGCTCCAGAATGTAAAACAAGTACAAACAGTTAATGGTCTCTTTGGAGTTACTGTACAATTTAGAGTAGTTTGCATAAATCATCTTAATTTAAGAGGCTAAAACAGTGGTATCTACTATAATGTTCAATGCTGCCATTTCAAACACGAATTCCTCAAGGCAACCCCCATTTGCTGCTTACAAAGTCTGAATATCTTGTGTATTTAGCTTCCTATATTATGCAGTCCTATATCTGATTCCCACTCTTTGCTTCCTAAAATTCAGCTCAGTTTTGATTGAATTAAAAGATTTGGTTTCAGCTTTTATCATTCCAGTAATTGAAGACATTATTAAGCCAAAGGATACAGACCTAAACAACAAGATACTTTAATCCAGGTACCCTGGATTTAATAAACATTATTTTAGAGGCAAATTACATTAATTTGTAGAAAGACTTGCTTTAAAATTTTAACACATGACCATTTATCTCCAAATTTATATTTACATTCATACTGTATAACATACACAAGGCTGCTGATAGGGAAATTTTGCTGATTAAAGACATTTTTTTTTTTCCTTTTAGCTCTACAGATGGGTTAATTTGTAAGACTTATACAGTCTTTTTATTTTTTTTTTTAAATCACATTGCCCTTTCGGTAACCAAATACTTAAGAAATATTGTAGCAATATGAGCTGTAGAGGAACTGGAAGGACAATGATCCTACAGTGTTACCAGATGTGTTGAGTTATTTAAGTGGGGAAGAGAGAAAAATGAATGGATTTTTTCCCCCTGAAGGTATCAGATAAGCCCTATTCCCAAATCCAGGAGGATAGAGTATCACCAATAGGTCTATGAAAGACTGTAACTAAACGCACAGCATCAGATTGGATTACAGTTTATACAAGCAACATCCCAAGATCCCCCTGATGGCTGGACACATAATACAGATCAATCACTCACTAAGAAATGTTATGGTTTTGAAACAGTTTGAGCTCTGAGGCCAGCACTGGTAAAGTGAAGAGGGATTTACAAAAGAAAATCTGACACTGAATGTCAGAATGATGGCACGAGCTTTTTAACAATGAATCTGGATCTTGATAACCAGAGTGTTCCTCTACTCCCCTAAAATTCCAGACCACGCAGAGGCAACAAATACATTTTATTCTCTGATCTTCTTCTCTTAATGTAACTAGAAAATATAGTCAGACAAGTTCATAATTTATAAATGACCTGTACTTCCAAATGGCCCACACTTACTTGAGCAGATTATATCTCCATAGCCAGTGTCAACTATTAAGGAAAAAACTATGGACTTCCTTGGGTTTAACAAGTAGGTGGGTTATGAAAAATAGGAATAATTTAGGGATACTGAATATCTTTGGCAATGGTGATTTTCCCAGTGCACATATAAATTTCATTTCATGACCTAAAATATTTATTTAAAAAGTATACCAAAGTATTTAAGTATTATCCGTCCATGAAATTGCAACATTTCTAGAAGGAACACAGAGCTATAAGTCACACATATCTTAACAGACCCTTTTAATGATTTAATCTTTTTTCATTACCTGGCTTACTACTAGAGGTATTCACCTGTTTGGATCATCATTGTACTTAAATATAAGAAAGCCCCCCAAAATGGTAGTAAAGACAATAGTAGGTAATAGAGACTTCAGAAACCTAATTGCCAAACCTCTTGAGGCTGAGTCTAAGCTCTAGACTTCTTGCTGCTCTAGCTAGACAAGAGTAGCCATTCTTCACATGGACCCTTCCCTCTGTCTGACCTCTACTCCACTTTTTTTTGTGAAACATTTTGTGCCCAAATCTTCTTGGTTCTACAACCTAGAATCATAATGAAACTATTTCCCTTTTTAAATGATTTTAAACTACTTTCAGTTTTTAAATCATATGACTGGTAGCCCACCCACCAGCTGCCAAAGAAGTCCTTATTGGGTTCATTAAAGGACAGCTGCTGAGTTCTAGGTCTTGAAAGGCTCTAATGTTCAGGAATAATTCATACATATCTGTTCAGAATGAACAGGTTTACAGGCAAGGTTGCATCAAACAAAAAAGGGCACTAGTTTGCCATGTCATTTCCTTCTGTAATGAGTAAATGTGCAGAGTACTTACAAAAGAACCTGCAACAGAGTAAGACTCAGTGCGTGTTAACTTACTCTTCTATATTTCCATATCACTATTCTATATTCAATGCAAATTTTGGACAAAGGGCAGAGTATGCAAAGCACTGTTTTTTAAATTGTGTCCAAATATTTTGGAAGAAGGCGGGTTTTAATTCAACAACAGATCATGTACAAAGACTATTTCAAGAAAAATTAGAGATCTCTTCAACACTGACTTGTGTTATCCTATTTCAGATTATGACTGTCACCATCAATGTTACAGTTTACTTTAGTTATCTAGAGAATAATCAAACAGGAGATGTTTCTTCATTTCTAGAGGTTGCAAGACTGGAACTGCTTACTTGTACATGCAAATGAAAAATTACCTTTCTCTTTAATTAGTCACATGTTTAAATCTGACTCTCTGGCAACACCATCCACTAACCTCATTTTCTGAGCAACATCATAAATTTCAGTGAGCCAAAAGCGGTAACTATTCACAATATCAGCATTATGAGTTCACTTCTCCCCTCATTTGGGGTACCAGGAGGAAGGCTGCATAGGAAATTAAGTGGACAGTGAACATCTAACTGCTATTTTCAAGCAAACTGTTGATCTCTCCTACTTCAATCACTACCGCCTCACCAAGATAAGGAATAGGTAATATCCAGATACATCTGAACCTTAGCACTATTACAGATCTGATCTAATTGACCTTTGGAATAAATTTCTTAAATGGTTAATTTTCAGGGCAAATCTCACCAAGCTCAGGGGAATATGTATGTAATTGCCTCATTCCTTATCTTTTGGCAAGGGTTAACTACCATTCAACCATTTTTTTAAATTGAAAAACTAAAATGATACATCCCCTCACAAATGGTGCTATAATGATTATGCCCTGAACCAATAATAAAATTCACATCATAAAAAATAAAAATTGAGGGCAGTGTGTCTATGTGGGTGAGGTGGGGTGGAGGGAAGTTATAAGAGAACAAAATTGACTAAAAACTATCCTCTCTTACAGTATCCTATCTTCACTATACAAAGCGATCTGTAACATATTCTTGTTTTGTTTTTTTTCCTTAAGATTTATTTATTTATTTATACAAGCGCTGGGTACAGTCAGAAGTGCAGGAGGGTGAGAGAATTCACCAGAGCGGGGAACAGAACATGCAGACTAACGAAATACACTGCTGAGGGGAGCAGCAGACTTGGCAGGAGAGGTCTGTCGCACCACGTGGGACCCTCACCGGCACCCGGGGATCTAACGGGCGCTGCAGAGGCTGCGGGCAGCTTCGCAGCCCAGTGCTCAACCACTGCGCCACCAGGGGAGGCCATGTAACATATTCTTACGGGGAAAAAACTTGGTTACAAAACAAAATATCATGGCAAATATTTCAAAAATAAAAATGAGGTCATTTATGGGTTCATATATGCAGAGAAAAATATCTCAAAGGAGACAATAAAATATTAATAATGGTAATTTGTAAGTGGCAAGATTCTTAGTTATAATTTTTCTTATTTAATTTTTTTGAATTGCTTAATTTTATAATTGCTGAATTTATAATTACATTTTCTCCACCCTTTTGTTTTACTGCTTTTACAATTAGATAAAACAATAAACTTATTTTTAGAGGGTAGAGTCAGTTGGGAAGGCGCATATCAAGTTTTTAGTCTCAGAGATGATTCAAGCCAAGCCATACCCACGAATTGGTTTATGGAATATATCAATCAACAGTCCTGGATTAGCACAAATAAGATCTGTAAGTGGGTTAAATATTCTGTGTAGACAAGTTGTGCCTTTCTCAATAAATGTAGTTCAGGAGTACCGTCAGTTAACATTTGATAGATGGAATAGACTCAACAGAGTTGTAGATGTTTAAGTAAAAGAGTACACATCCTAAATTAAAAGTAAGTTACAATTGGGCCTCCCAGGTGGCGCAGCGGTTGAGCGCTGGGTTGCCAAGCTGCCCGCAGCCTTTGCAGCGCCGGTTCGATCCCCCGTTGCTGGGCGAGGGTCCCACATGGCACACAGACCTCTCCTGCCGCCCACTGCTCCCCTCAGCAGTGTACTTCGTTTGTCTGCCTGTTCTGCTCTCTGCTCTGGCTCTGGTGAATTCTCTCACCCTCCCGACTTCTGACTGTACCCAGTGCTTGTATAAATAAATAAATCTTCAAAAAAAAAAGTAAATTACAATTAAATCTAGAAAAATGTCAACTACAAACTTATGTGGCTCAATTGAACCACCAGCAAGCATAAGCTATCTGAGTTGATGTGATGTGGTAGTATAGTTGCA